GGACAGCGTGGAGGGCTGTTGTAGGTTGCAACACAACGTTGACAGGATGCAGAGCTGGTTAAAGAAGTGGCAATTGGAATTCAAACCAGAAAAGTGTGAAACAATTCATTTTGGAAGGTCAAATTTGAATGCAGAATACAGGGTTAATGGCAGGATTCTCGGCAATGTGGAGGAACAGAGGGATCTTGAGGTCCATGTCCATAGATCCCTCAAAGTTGCTACCCAAGTTGATAGGGTTGTAAAGAAGGCATAGAAGATGGAACTCTACAATGAAAAGAAGAAACATTCTCTTTATAAAAACTGAAAGAGCAGCAGATGTTGTAAATGAGAAACAAAAATCATAAATAGAAATTGCTGGAAAAATTCAGGTCTGACAGCATCTGTGGAAAGAAATCAGAGTTAACACTTCAGGTCAAGTGACCCTTCCTCAGACCACTGTCTTTATCACTGGCTTACTAAGAGTTTGAGCTAAGAATCAGGCACGGGGAAAGAAAGATCACGGTCTACACTTTTGTGGAAAGATTTAAGACCGGCTATTCTGTTTGAGTTTCTTTCTTCAACCATGCCACTTAAGAATCATCCATGATGCCAGGAAATTGAATATGAATGCAGACCCCCTGTCCAGAAGTAGAGAGAACCCCGGTTAGAACTAAACGTGTATATTCGACCAAGGCTGGAGGAATGCCTGTGTGTGTGCGCGTGAGAGTATCTGTTGTTTTATGATTTTGTTTTCCCCTTTAAGGAGATGTACCTCCTTTAATAATTAAATGAGAATGAATTTCATTTTATTCCGCATGTTGTGGAAAGTGCATTGGCTGTGGATCATAACCTTGGATCATCTGCAGAACTTTAAAACTTTTAATTACAATAAGATATACAGCCAAAATATATCCTTGCGAGATGGCAGCGGAGTAGGACACTCCAGCCAGAGTTTGTCTGCTCCAACTGTTCCTTTTCTTCTTTTTTCTCTCTCTCGTGTATGTTTTCCCCTCTGTCTTTTTCCTCTTCTGCCAGCAGTTCAGAGCACGGGCATGAGAGCCAGCGGCCCTGAGCATGGACACAGAAGCCAGTGGCCCTGAATGTAGCGGGGACAGCGGGCCTGGAGCGGAGCTGGAGTCACCAGCGACCCAGAATGGGGATAGTGGATAGCGGGCCTGGAGTGAAATGGGGATGACCAGCGGCATGGAGTGAAGATGTCTACTGTTTGGGAACCGCTGGAGCCCAGGCAGACCACCTGGAAGCTCTTATAGAAAGGCTATAATGCGTTTTTTTAAGCTTTATTTCTTATTTTCCAGCTTATATATGTATATCTCTAATGTAGCGTGAACGGTTTTGTTATTTTCTTCTGCTTTTTGTACCTAGGTAATGGCACTGTGTGCTGGTGACATTGTACACTTTTCACTGTACTCCTGTTCTGTTATAACTTGAGTACACATGACAATTAGCCTAATTCTAACTGGATAAAAAATTAGTTGCCTGCAGAGGGAGCCCCCAGAATGGGTGTCAAGTATCCAAGGCACAAATGCAGTACAAACTGAACTGTAATTGCGTGTGAGTATCTCAGAATCATAGAATCCCTACAGTGTGGAAACAGGCTGTTCGGCCCAACAGTTCCACACCGACCCTCCCAGCATCCCATCCAGGCCCATCCCCTTACAACCCACCTAATCTACACATCCCTGAACACTACAGGCAATTTAGCATAGCCAATTCGCCTAGCCTGCACATCTTTGGACTGTGGGAGGAAACCGGAGCACCCGGAGGAAACCCATGCAGACACGCGGAGAACGTGCAAACTCCACACAGACAGTTGCCCGAGGGTGGAATTGAACCCAGGTCCCTGGCGCTGTGAGGCAGCAGTGCTAACCACTGAGCCTCAGGCTGTGAACATGATAGTTTAAAAGAAAGACAGCAGTCTGTTTGGGAGATATTTGTGTTTTGCCCTTTCAAGAATGCACAAGTACACAGGCCAGAAGTGAACAGCAGCCCTGGTGTTTGTCAGCGGCCTGAAGCCTTAGTACAAACAAAGAACTGCAGATGCTGGAGACCTAAAACAAAAATAGAAAGTGCTGGAGAACCTCAGCCTCTGTGGACTGCAAAACAGAGTTAATGTTTCAAATCCAGTGACCCTTCATCAGAATCCTTTGTTTTTCTGTCCACAAATGCTGTCAGCCCTGCTGAGTTTCTTGAGCACTTCCTGTTTTTGTGACTGAAGTTCTAGTATTTGGACAGGTGTGCTGCAAAGATCATAGGCTTGAAGACAGCCACAGGTAAAGAAAGGGAAAAGATTTTGTCTCACTGGGTGCTACCAGTCAGGCACTGTTGAATGCAACTAGGTCAAATTAATTTCTATCAGTGAACAAAGAGTCTTGTCATTTGAGATAACAAGGTGTGGAGCTGGATGAACACAGCAGGCCAAGCAGCATGCCCGAAACATCAGCCTTCCTGCTCCTCTGATGCTGCTTGGCCTACTGTGTTCATCCAGCTCTATACCTTGTTGTCTCAGATTCTCCAGCATCTGCAGTTCCTACTATCTCTGAAACTCTTGTCATTTGATTTGATTTGTTACTGTCACGTGTACTGAAATACAATGAAAAATGTTGTCTTACATGCTTTACAAGCAGATTGTACTATAGTGCATCAGGGTAACAGGAGAGTGTGCAGGACACAATGTTACAGCTGCAAGAAATTGCAGAGAGAGCGATCAACATTTATGTTAAAGAGGTCAGTTCAAAAGTCTGATAACATCGGGGAAGAAGCTGTTCTTAAATTAGTTTGTACTTATATACAAACTTTTGTATCTTCTGCCTGATACAAGAGCGTGGAAGAGAATATAACCAGGTGGGATTATGTTGGTTACTTTCCGGATGCAGCAGGACGTATAGATGAACTCAATGGATGGAAGGCTGGTTTCCGTGATAGAGTGGGCTGTGTTCACAACTCTGCAGTTTCTTTCAGTCTTGGGAAGAGCACTTGCCATACCACACTGTAATTTATCCAGATTGGATACTTTCTATGGTGCATCAGTAAAAATTTGTCGGAGTCTTTATGGGCATGTTGAATTTCCTCAGCCTCCTGAGGAAGTAGAGGTGTTGCTGTGCTCTCTTGACCCGGATCAGGACAGATTGTTGGTTCGTCACTCCCAGACGCTCTCGACCATCTCCACTTGAGCACCTTTGATGCAGATAGAGGCATGCCCTCCGCTCCACTTCCTGAAATCAATGAACAGTTTCTTTGTTTTGCTGATGTAGCTGGAGAGATTGTTGTCTTTACGCCATGCCATTAAGCGCTCTATCTCCTTCCTGTACTCTGTCTCATATTTTGTTTGATATCTGACTTACAATGGTGGTGTCATCAGCAAACTTGTAAATAGAGTTTGGTGTGGAATTTGGCCACGCAGTTGTGTGTAAAAGGGGTATAGTAGGGGGCTGAGTACACTGACTGGTCGACTACCAATGTCAGTGCAACCAGTAACATGCAAGGTAACTGCCATAATATTAAACTACCTACACTTTACCCATAGAGACAGATCCATATTTCTTTTAACTTTTATCTCTTTTTGAACTTGTCTCATTTTTAATGTATGCGCAGGTCTGTTGCCTTAAAATTTCTCCTTGCATCTAATAAGTAATAAGCTAATTATTTTGTAAACTCAAGCCTGGTTAAATTTTCATAACACAAATTCAATGGGGAAAATTAGAATCACCAGGGAAGTAGTAGTCAACAAATTGTTGGAATTTTAGACTGACACATCCTGGGTCATGATTGATTACGTCTTCGGTCTTAAAAGATGTGCCTTGATAGGTAGTTTATGCAATGGTTTTAACTGTTCAAAATTCCTTGGAACCTTTCCCGAATCTCTTAGATTGGAAAATTGTGAATGTAACTCCTTTATTCAAAAAGAGGAGACAGAAAGTAGGAATCAACAGGCCAGTTAGATTAAAATTTGTCATAGGGAAAATTTTTATATTTTTTACTATTAAAGAAGTTATAGCAGGCTACTTAGCTAAGTTTAAGGTAATCAGGCGCAGTCAACATGGTTTTGTAAAAGGGAAATCATGTTGAACCAATTTATTGACATTCCTTGAGAAATAACATGTGTTGTTACTAAAAGGGAGCCAGAGGATGTACTATACTTACATTTCCAGAGAGCATTTGATAAAGTGCCTCATTATGGAAAGTAAAAGATCATGGTGTAGGGGTTGACACATTAGCACGGATAGAATGTGCTAGTTAATCAGGCAAAACCGAGTCATTTTATGGTAGGCAAGAAGTAATTAGTAGTATATCACAGGGATTAATGCTGGGCTGTCAAACTGTTTATAATAATGCACATAACTTGGATGAAGGGGTTGAAGGTAACGTTGGCAATGTTTCTGATGATGAAGATGATAGGAAAGTAAGTTGTGAAGAGAACATAGAGTCTACAAACCAACATAAATCATTTAAGTGGATGGACAAAGGTCAGGCAAATGGAGAATGAAGTGGAAAATTGTGAATTTTTTTTATTTTAGCAGGAGAATTATTGGAGAGCTTTGAGATGCAGAGGAGTCTGGGTGGTCTAATGCCTGAATTGTAAAAGGTTTGTACACAGGTACAAGTAATTGGAAAAGCTAATGGAATACTATTGTCTATTGCGAGGACAAATGAATAAAAAAAGCCTAGAGATCTGGGAAAAAAATTAGAACATGGAGACATTCAGCAAGTTTGGCATTATCTGTGGACAGCGAAACAGAGTTAACGCTTTAAGTAAACTTTGTAGAAATGAAGAAGAGTCGTATTAGATAGGTAGATAGTTTATTTTTGTGACCAAGGGGTGAAAGGTTATCTGGGGTAGATGTGAAAGTGGTGAAATCAGATCAGCTGTGACTCTAGTGAAGAGTGTAACAGGGTAAAGGGAACAAGTTACCTACACCTCCTAATTTGTATGTTTGTATAGTGAATCAGTTGTCTGATGCTGTCCTTCAGTGTTTTCCTGTTTTGTACTTCTAATTCTCCAGATACACTCTACAGCAACACGCTACCAATCTATGAGTATGATGCAGATCGAGTCGAGGAACAAAGACGGAACCAGGAAAGCATGCCCTACATAGATGATTCACCTTCGTCATCACCTCAGCTCAGCTCCAAAAGTCGGGGTAGCAGGGACACTATATCGTCTGGGTCCTTGGAATCAACCAAGTCCGTGAGTAGATTTATTCTGAAACAGTGAAAGCCAATACGATGCCTAGATAAGAATGCAAAGATGTGAAGGAATTAAACAAAAATGTACCTTGAAAGAATATGTTGTTGCATAATTGAATGAGCAGGGTAAAAGAGGCTACACCGGTGGGATTAGTTAAGGTAGTGAAGGAAATCCCAAGAGAAGTCTGTCTGTGTGGAGTTTGCACATTCTGCCCATGTCTGCGTGGGTTTCCTCTGGGTGCTTCAGTTTCCATCCACAGCCCAAAGATGTGCAGTTTAGGTGAATTGGCCATGTTAAATTGCCCATAGTGTTCAGGGATGTGTAGAATAGGTGGGTTATAGGGGGATGGGTCTGGGTGGGATGCTCTGAGATTCGGTGTGGACTTGTTGGGCCGAAGGGCCTGTTCCACACTGTAGGGATTCTATGAAGTCGAGCTGCACCTAATGAAGCTAGAAGCAGATGAGAAATCTAAAATTCTTACATTTGTCTGTGGGGATAAAGTACTGGCGCTGTTACCAGTGGTACGAGATCCCTTCAAAGCAAGGTTCAGTGGTCCCTATCGATTGAGAAGAAGTTAAGTCAGGTGAATTATCTGGTAAAGATATTTATCGAGTATGTCATGTGAACATACTGAAATCTTGCTATGACAGGGAAAGGGAACTGGAGAAAGAGGTATTAGTTACCGCCACTCAGAGTGAGGAATCAAATCCAGATGATTTGAAGTGCCTCAAAAGGAAGCCCTTGAAGAATGGGATAGGGTAGTGAGCAATCTGTCCCAGGAACAGAGAACTGAATTTGCTGTAGTGCTGTGAGGACATATGTAGAAATAGAATGGGGAGGCCTAATGCCATTGTACATGAGGTTGATGTACCCAACCCGAAACGTCAACTTTTCTGCTCCTGTGATGCTGCACACCCTGACTCTAGCATCTGCAGTTCTCGCTATCTCCTCCTGACATAGGGAATGCTGTTCCGATAAAACAGCACCCCTACAGGCTTAATCCTCTCAAAGCAGCGCAGGTTCAGAAGGAAGTGAAAATGATGCTCCAAGAAGACATGATAGAGCCGAGTCAAAATGATTGGAGTTTGCCAATTGCGTTGGTTCCCAAACCTGATGGTACTCAACGATTCTGCGTAGGCTATCGGAAGGCCAACACTGTGACAAAATCTGACCCATGTCCAATTCCAAGGCTGGAGGATTGTGTGGAAAAAGTAGAACAAGCCACTTACATCACAAAGTTGGACTTACTTCGTGGTTACTGGTATTGTGAAGTTGGGTAGAGTACTTGTAAAATGGGACCTAGGAAATTAGAATTTCATGTTTGTAAAATGGTAGGGGGAAGTGCTTTTTCTATGCTTAGAGATTTGAGATGGATGTCTGTGAACAGCAGCTTGAAAGTTTGCAAGTACACAGAGACCACCGGAATTGAAACATTTTGTATCAAAAGGCTGTACAGTTAGCAGGCCAAGCAATGGTTTTTACCAAGACAACAAGTTTTGAATTTAGCCATTCAATTTGAACCAGGCACTTAGATACCAAAAACCAATTAAATTTAAATCTGATGGTTTTGACAACATAGGCCAGTCCTAGTGTAAGAAATGGATATGTCATCAAGGGTATAAAAGAAGAGTGCAGTTGGACAAAGACAGGACAGCTAACTGCCATCTGCCAGAGTTAACAGCTCCCAGCTCTCATGAAAGAATTGCTGGCTCTCTCAGTCTTCTGTAAGTCTGAGAGAAAGCACCATCTAAAGAACAAAGGTACCTTTGTCACAACTACTTAATATTCCTGACAGACGAATCGATGGAGAAGGCGTTTTTGAAAGAACATTCGACGGAGAAGGCACAGAACATTCTAGAAGACATGTAATCTGGCTGTAATTTTGACAGACTAAATTCGATGTTGTTTTTTAATTTTATGTAAGTGGGACTTATATTTATTAGAACAACATACCATCAGAATCTTGTTTCGTTCAGGAATAGTTAATAGTTAGAAGGGGTTTATTTGGTTCGTTAATAGTGTAATTAATTTGTTCACTGTTAGAGTTGGATAAGTTGTTACTTGATTGTAAAGTGAATGAGGGGTTTATTTTAATTAACCACTAGAAGTTGCTGAAGGGCAGGTTACACCACTTTTCATGTTCCTTTTACAGACTACGAGGTGAGGTGCTTCTCTTTGGGTGTTTCGGTTTTAAATCTCAAGAGGGGGTGGTCAACATCCACTTTTTAACATTGACCTTTGTCAGAGCAAAAGAAGTTTCTGCTTTTGTAACTCTAGATGGGCTATATCGATTTAAAGTAATGCCCTTCGGAATAAAAAACACACCCACTTTGCAAAGGCTTATGAACACAGTTCTTGCAGGATTGACTAATTCTGCTGTCTACATAGATGACTTAGTGATCTTTAGCTATTTGTGGAAAGGTCACATGGAGCGTTTGGCACAGTTCTTTTGAGAGACTACGGAAGGCAAAGTTGGTTATAAACTTGGCAAAAACAGAATTTGTGAAGGTGGAAGTGACATTCTTAGGGCACAACATCGGATATGTACAGGTGACACCGAGGAACGTGAAGATGAAGGCCATCAAGGAATTTCCAAGACCATCATTGAAGAAGGAAGTGCTACGATTTTTAGGATTGAGCAGATTCTACAGGAAATTTGCACCAAACTTTAGTAGTGTAGTGGCACCTTTGACGGTTTTGTTAAAAAAAAAACACAAAATTTTGGTGGCCAGAACAAGGCCAGGAGGCATTTGAGAATTTAAAAGCAGTGTTAACCACCGTACCACTTTTAGCCATGCCAAACATTTTGAAATATTTTTCTCGCCACTCTAAATGTGGGCATGCATTTAAATTTGGAATTAGGAAATTACAAGTTTCAGTTGGAACGCTCCAGGACTGCATTCAGAGATAACCGGAGAATTGGACCACAATTTTCCTTAGTGCCTTGTATTTCAGTACTATGATCACTGTTTTAATATGCGAGCGAATGCAAAGAGTGAATGCTGAAAGTACACATGAGAATGTTGGTCATCACATGACACTGAATTGATGCGTGCAATGCTATTTAGAACTCAAAACTTGAACTGAGGCCATCACTTAAGCACATAAAGTTTACTTTGCTTTTATGGTAGGAAGGGCATGTAAAACTGCAGTTAGTCGCTGATTGGTTTCTATGGCCGCAATTATAAGAGTGCTTGCTTGTTTCTCAAATTTTTTTAAAGTTGCTAAAGTCAACAGAGAGTGATATCTTTCACACTACTGTATTCTCTGTGGTCTTTCATCATCTGCTATGGATGACAGTACTTCATTCTCTACTCCTACGCAAAACTCTAATTATAACTCTATAACTCTATGTATGTAGAGATATACAACATGGAAACAGACACTTTGGTCAGCATGGACGAGTTGGACCAGATACCCTAAATAAATCTGGTCCCATTTGGCAGCATTTGACCAATGTACCTCTAAACACTGCCTATTCGCATACCCATCCAGATGCCTTTTAAATGTTGTAATTGTACCAGCCTCCACCACTTCCTCTGTGTGGAAAAGGTTGCCCCTTAGGTCCCTTTTAAATCTTTCCCCTCTCACCTTAAACCTATGCCGTCTAGTTTTGGACTCCCCCACCCTGGATTAAAGACTTTGTGTATTTACCCTGTCCATGCCCCTCATGATTTTATAGACCTCTATAAGATCGCCCCTCAGCCTCTGATGCTCCAAGGAAAATAGCCCCAGCCTATTCAGCTTCTTCCTAAAGCTCAGACCCTCCAACCCTGGCAACATCCTTGTAAATCTTTTCAGAACCCTTTCAAGTTTCACAACATGCTTCCTACAGCAGGGAGACCAGAATTGTATGCAGTATTCCATAAGTGGCCTAACCAATGTCCTGTACAGCTGCTACATGATATTTCAACTCCTATAATCAAAGCACTGACCAATAAAAGCATGCATACCAAATGCCTTCCTCATTATCCTATCTATCCATTACTCCACTTTCAAGGAACGATGAACGTGCAATCCAAGGTCTGTTTGTTCAGCAGCACTCTCCAGAACCTTATCATTATGTGTATAAGTCCTGCCCTGATTTGCCTTTCCAAATGCAGCACCTCACATTTACCTAAATTAAACTCCATCTGCCACTCTTTGGCACGTTGGCTCATCTGATCAAGATCCCAATTTACTCTGAGGTAACCTTCTTTGCTGTCCACTACACCTCCAATTTAGATGTCATCTGCAAACTTACTGACCATACCTCCAATGTTCACATCCAAATCATTTATATAAATGATGAAAAACAGTGGACCCAGCACTGATCCGTGTCACCAGCACTGGGCCACAGGTCTCCAGTCTAAAGAGCAACCCTCCACCACCACCACCTTCTGTCTCCAACCTTCGAGCCAGTTCTGTATCCAAATAGCTAGTTCTCCCTCTATTCCATATGATCTAACCTTACTCATCAGTCTACCACGAGGAAGCTTGTCAAATACCTTACTGAAGCCCATATAGATCACGCCCACTGCTCTGCCCTCATCAATCCTCTTCGTTACTTCTTCAGAAAACTCAATCAAGTTAATGAGACACAATTTCCCATGCACAAAGCCATGTTGACTATCCGTAATCAGGCCTTGCCTTTCCAAATACATGTAAATCCTCTCCCTCAGGATTGTCTCCAACAGCTTGCCCACTGCCAATATCAGCCTCACTGGTCTGTAGTTCCCTGACTCTTCCTTACCACCCTTCTTAAATAGTGGCACCACGTTAGCCAACCTCCAATGTTTCGCACTTCGCCTGTGGCCCTTGATGATACAAATATCTCAGCACGGGACCCAGTAATCTTCCTTAGCTTACCATAGAGTTCTAGAGTACACCTGATCAGGTCCTGGGGATTAATCCACCTTTTATGTGTTTTAAGATGTCCAGCACCACCACCTCTGTAATATAGATATTTTTCTGTATCGTTCTCCACAGTAAACAGTGATGCAAACTACTCATTTAGGATC